TTGCAGAAATGTGTGAAAGTAAAGCCTGCGAAAAAGGCATTTGGGATCACCACACTGAGTTATGGGTGGATGGGTTATGAAGTGCTACCAAGCTGTCAATGCAGTAGCCTGACAGCACAATATTAACATTTCAGTAAATCTTATGAAACATAAGCAATTCCATAAGTCTCCTCAGCCAGATCATCAAAACAGGTCCATCGTCTCCAATCACCTCCACAACACAGAAAATCCATTTTATGATGTGAAATTATTAATACTTTTTACAGCAAATCACTCCATTTCTCTTTGCAAATACTAGACATGTCCAAGTCAGAAAACATGAGACAAACACATTGGTTATAGCAGCCATAAATCCCAGTGAGGGGCTTTTTTTGATGTTTTTTGTTAGACCACTTTACCAAAACCCCCCCACTGCTTCTAACATACTTCTTGGAACATCACAACACCACCACTACTCCAAGATTACTATAAGCTCGAGGCAACCCAAAAAACTAGGTATCTGTATGGACACGGACATCCATGTGCACTAGCCTTAGTGTCTCCAAAACTATAATCATAACTTGAGAAACTTGGAATAGAATTAAAATTCTTACCAAGTCAGTCCAGCTGCAGATAAAACTGGGGCAGGTATTCTTAATTTTAAAATTTACTGAACAAAACAGGGTCAATCCTGTTCTCATATTCTCTCTCACTTTATACTGAACTAAAGAAAGAATTTCTATTTGGTCACCAATTTAAATTGACCTAGTGCAGATCTGTGTAGCAAAGATCTACGCAGCATAAGGCAAAAAAGGGACAAGGAAGGGATTTTGGACAAGGGATCTTCCCTAGAATAAAATCCTGGAGCCGAGATGGGAAAGAAAGTGTGCTAAGCAGTGAGATTCCAAGAAAAAAGACCACCAAAGGAAGCAGATTCTTCACATCTCTGCAGAGTACTAGGACAGGAAAGAGTTCCTCTGAAAATGGGTTAATTACCTAATTACTAAAACACAAGTTTTTCTCCTCCACTCTGCCACTTCTTCCCCATACATCACCAAATGCTGCAACTACAGAATTTTACTGGCCGAGAAGTGATCTTTAATTAACAAAGGAATGCCAGAAAATGCCTCTGGTGTAGTGTATTTTATCTAACACATTTCACTGAGGTGGGAAGAGAGGCAGGGAAGTGGTGAGGTTTTCCTGGACCAATACAAAATGCAGCCTTGTGGAGATCTCTATGTCTATACTGGGAATGCTTCACTGAAATCATGCTCCTAGAACACACATGGCTTACATATAAACATTTGAAAGTCAGACCCTTCCTATTTTTTAAACACACAAAAACTAGACACCATTTTTTGGTATACATCAGATAAACCAAGGAAGCACAGTTGTAACAGAGGACTTTGTTTTTTTGGTACTCCATTTCTCCCAACTAGTGAGGTTCTACCTGCCAACAGAAACCATGTCACTTCACCTTGAAACATGGCTGTATTTTGACATTGCATTATTCAGATTTTCAAGGGAAGTGTCTACAAGTACCAGTATTTAATAACAAGGCAACATTTTCTGTTAATGAAGATGAAGAGAACAAAATAAAACATCAGTAAGAAATACTCGTCAAACTGTGAACCAATCCAGGCTACTTTTCAAAGATAGAAAATCCTTATCTGATACAGTCACGTCACAACTCAGCCATCCTTCTCCTTTGCCTAGGTGTGCAGTTGTGGGGCAGAGTTTGTGGGGGGAAGGGGTGCAGAGGTGGGGGACAGGCAGTGACAAGGGGCAGGGGGCAAGATGTGAGGGAGGGCAGGGGGTACATGTGAGGTTGCTTGACCCCTCGTAAACTAAAGAACAATGCACTGCATCCTTAAATTTTCCCTTTTTCGATCATTTGTAAACACACCTTTAAAAGGTGATTCCCCACACCCTTTAGTAATAATGGACATTGGTGTAGTATTTTGCTGTTCTGAGAGATTAATTTGGTTAAAAAAAAAAAGTTGCAGGTGGTAGTGATGGAAAGCAGCTTTAAACACCAGAGGCCTCAGGCAAAACCTGATAAAGCCAAACTTGACATTCCTATTACTATAACAGTTAAAGGGCAGAAAACATCTTGCTGCACTGATATCCATTCAGAAGGCTACTGCAAAAAACACTCTCTCCTGTCACTATTGCCACATCACCTCTTTCGATCTCCTACTGTTTCCTCTTTTCCATCATAAGCATTAGCAGCCGATCTTCATTTTTAAGGTCCTTGACAGTCTATCTCTTATTCAGTATTGAAGTGTTGACACCTGTCTCTGATGCCAGTCTGATATCCATGATGCCAGCCTCTATTACTTGCTCATTAGATTTTCAAACAAGTGACTTGGCATTTAAGACAATTCCAACCCACCTACTTGGGGAAAGCTCCCCCATAACATTTCTGCTAAAGTGTCTTGTTTTACTGCCCTTCAAATTAAATGATACTTTAACTACAAATCATTTTAGGGTGTGCATTAGACTGTTTTATGCCCCAAACAAACCTAAATCACACATTACTACTTAATATATAACATTTCTACATGTTAAGCTCTTTGAAGGAGGTATCTTTTCACAGTAGTCTGTAAAATAATCAGACATCTAGAGCACTGTATAAGCACATATTATGTATGTGCTTATAGTCTAGTCTCTAATCTACACTAAAGAAATATGCATCAGCGTAACTTCAGTGCTGCTACACTGTTGCAAAAAACCCCACCCAAACAAAACAACAAAACAAACAACACAATGTAAAATAGAGACCAAGAAAACAAAGAAAGCAGAACTGAACCCTAAAATTTACACAGCTGAAGCACAGCTACATTACAGCTTTACACTGATGCAGTTTCATTTGTATCAATCAGTGCAAATTTCTCAAACAAAAAATAGGGTTTAAGCATCATACTACTCACCATGGTACCAAAAAATTCTGCCATCATTACTACTTAAGATGACTTAAAGGCATTAATTATCCTCAAAACACTGAGATGACAATGTTTTGTGCTTTATATGCCTGTCACATCACAGAATTTTGTTTTAGAAATGTATAAATAGAAAGTCTTGAGGTGGAAGTATAGGAATAACTAGACACAATAGGATAAAAACTTAAAAGGTGAAATGTTAAAAAGTTAAACAACTAGAAAAGTTTCCTACTATTGAAGTGTGTTACTTTGTAAAATTATTTCCCAACAGCGGTGCTAGAAGCCCCAACACTTGGAACTTTTTCAAAGACTCAATAGCACATTACTATTTATTCAGTGCCCAAAACATGTTTGGCACTTTATCAACAAAATAAGATAGACCAAGCAGTTCATAAACAAAGCCCAATTCCATCAACAAGTTCTGTGGACACATGTAATACCCTACTTAACTCACCAGAATTTACACTAAGCCCATTAGGGTTGACATAGACCGTAGACAGACAAAAACACAAGGGTGAGGCAAAAGGCAAAAAGACTACTAGATTGTGATGCTCTGAGTGACAGAGTATGGCATTAATTTTTAATTCAGTAATTTAATTTCCTTTAAAAAGTTAAGAAAATTATTTCCCTTGATAGCTGAATGAAGGATTATGGTGCAAGTTTAGTTTAAAGGGCTTAAAAGACAAAACCCCAGAATCAGAGATAAGCAAAAAAATCTATACAAGGGAGTTGCAAACTCACAAGTTTCCATATAAAAGTTTTACATCTTAAAGGGAGTTTTTATATCAATTTTAAATAAATTGGTATATAACAAGTGCTGCAGTAAGGCAAATTGTTTACAATTTTATTTTCTGTAAATGTCTATTTTAATTACTAAGATGTTTGATAAAGGAAAAGACTCATCAATCATTACATCTTCAATTAAGGAGTTAAGAGCTCACCAACTTCCTTCATACCTCTCACTGACCCTACTAAAGAGAGACAGGGACTATCAAACTTTACGTTCGTGAAGCATCTCATTTAAAAAGCAAACATTAAAAACTGAAGCAGGCAAAAAGGCTGAAAGCCCAGATTAAAGATATATTATTTATATCTGTTAACCCTTTTATACCCATTTAACTTACAACTCATATGCTGAAAAAATATTAAATATTCGTTACAACTTAATCCTTCAAGAAATACTCACCCCCTGAGGGGGGGGGGGGGGGGAAAGGTGGAACGGGAAGGAAGGAATAGAAAATAATCTCTAAATTAAATTCTAAGAAAAGGAACACCGCTACAACCAAAAACCCAAGAAAAGGAACAGTTTTGTGGAGAAGAATCAGAAAATATTTAGGCCTTATACCTCAACAGGAAAAAAAAACTATTCCACGGAGAAAGAGGGAGGGAAATTAATGATTTGTAGTTCACCTTTAAAGGATTAAAAGATCAATAAAAGTAAAGATTGAAAGAAGAGGGAGATTTTGGATAAGTCAGAAAGAAGGAGTGATAATAATCTGGATCAGAGAAGAAATTAAAAGAGGTCAGGAGGTCCAAGGAAGAGGAAGGATCACAAATATGCAGCCAGAATGGAAAAGGGAGAAAGAGAAGACTTGAAGAACAGAAAGGGATGGAAGGTCTGCTTTTGTCATGCTGAGGTTAAGTTAATCACTGACAACCAGTGCCAAATTGCAAACTCTTCTACTCAACACAACTAGTCACATGCCTAAAGTGTTTGTAGGATCAAGAAGGACCTTTACAATCTTTGCAGGGCAGAGACTGCTTTATAGGGATGAATGGACAACACAAAAGCCTGTGGGTCTCTGATCTCTGCTGGAGCTACTCTATGGTACTGTAACATAAATAATTAGTCTGAACTGAAGTTCAGAGGAGAAAATAAAGAGATGAGATCTGAGAGTCATCAGTATATATTTGAATCCAACTGAGTGGCTGAGGTTATCCAAAGATTAGTTATACTTGGAGTAGTATCCAAGGAAGGAGCTCATAAAATACCAAGGAAAAAAAGGGGAAAGAAGATCTACCATGACAGGCACTGAAGGAGCAGCCAGTGAGCCTAAACAAGTGAAAAAGAAGGCTTACCTAACTGAAGAGGCAGAAAAGCCACGGTGGTTCTGAAACTTGACTACTTATGGCCTTAAAAAGTGAAATCTCAGTCCTGAAGCAAAAAAAAAAGCCAGTCTGCAAAGGATGAAGGAGAAAGCCTACAGGAAGTCAAGGCAGTAAAAATGAACACCACTCAGAGAATCTTAGTCTTGGAGGGGAGGTGAATGAGACAGTAATTAGACAGGAGGTACATTAAGGGAGGATGCTTTTTAAAATAAGGGGGGGGGGGGGGGGGGGGGGGGGGGAGAGGAATGGCATATTTGAAGTCCAACATAAAAGTGCCTAATGAGATTTGGCATGAATCAGAAAAGAAGTAAAAAGGGCCAGGAGGTGGAGATAATAGGGCTAAAGGGACAGGTTGAAGGGCAGGAGGAAAGTGTTATCAGAATTAAGGAGGCAGATGGGTGCATTATTTGTATTAAACAATCAAAGGCACAGAAACGCAAGACAAGATCATCTGACCTACCCTCTACATTTTATCATTCCAAGTAGAAGAACAAGTGGCTTGCACATGAGAGGCACTATCTGAGACTAGTCAAAAAAGACGAACCAACCTAAGTCCTGATCCTGTGAAGCCTTAAGTTTACTTCACTTCAGAACCACAACTGGACTATTCATAAGTTAAACATAAGCATACTTTTTTTTTTTTTTTTTTATAGGACTAGAGCCTATTTTACTTTGCTGAAATAAAACATACTAGCACAGACTAGAGGGCCTGACAGTACAATATGCTGTCTCTAATAGCTATCAGTATCAGCTACTTCAAAAAACTTGCAAGAAACTACAATCTACTTGTCAAAGTAGATGCACGTCCACTGACCATGAGCATGGGGGATAAAAGCCATATTCCAATCCTTATTTTCCTTTCCTGATCCTTGTAAATTTCAATGTCTTTTGTCATGTGTATAAATGAAAAACCCTTTTCTGACTCCTGAGATACCTTGTAGCAATGACTTAAGATTAAAATTTTAAATGAAAAAGCTATAGCTTTTATCACATTTAAATTTGTTGTCATTCATTTGTAGTGAGCGACTCTCCCTCCACACTTGCATTATGAGACAAGCAAATGGACATTTCTAGTATCCAACACAGTAAACACTATGGAAAAGATATATTTTCTCACATCTCTTCATTCATCCTCTCTCTCAAGTAAACTGCCCCCTTTTTCTCCTTTACTGTCAAAAGTTTTTCAATACTTCATTTTAATATTGTGCATACCTTTGCTTTGTACAAAAGCATAATATTTTCTGTACTATTCTCCAATTCATCCTCACATACCCTACTGTTTAGTCTTTTCTAAACAAAAAGGAGGGAGGCCTTCAAGGAATAAACCAGGAGAACTGTGCCCCCTCCTCCTTCCCAACCAGTCATCACCATACAGGCCTTTTTTATTCACAAGGGGAACGTGGACCTTATGCCCACAAAGTAATGACGAGCCCCCTTGTTATTGAGGAGGGGGGGGGGAATTATTGGGTATGCATCAACTGAGTTTAGGGAACAACTTGAGACCAGGGATGGGAGGGAGGTCACAGGTTTAAAACAAGTGCTGCAAAGGGGCAGACTGAACAGAGCACAGCAGACAGCGCTCACTGGACTCAAGCAAGTCCAAGGAGCCAGTGAATACTGCCCAGCAAGGCTCTGCCTGGAGACCTGAGCAGACAAGGGACAGGAAATCAGCCCTGGTGAGCCCAAGGGTCCTCCCAGCCACAGCCTCCTTCCTGGTCAAGTACAGGGCCAGAGGAGGGGGAACCAAGGGGCCCTTCCACAACACAGGCCAGCACCACCAAGCAGAGTGAAAAGCCCTCTTTAGAGTGAAAAGCCCTCTTTAATAAGGGGGGGGGGGGGCAGTGAGGGAACATCATCCCTGGCTTGGGACACATAAAAGACGCAGTGGGGATGGGATATTAAAAACGAGCGCTTCAAGGTGGGGCACCAGAGAGCCAGCGGGCGCGGCCCAGCCAGACTGCCCAGCAGCGTGACCGGAGCAGGGCCCAAGCCCCACGGGGCAGGAAGGCGGCCTCCTCCCACCAC